GCTCATGCGAGGGGAAAAGCCCCCAAACCTCCAACCTATAGGCTTTGTGAGTCAAACCACCCTTCCCACAGATTCTCGGGGGTTTATCGGAATTTTTAGGCGATTCAACACACATTTTTATTCTTTTGGTCAACATGTGTGTGCCTAATGTGGACCAGCACATGGGGAATTGGTGCTGCTCACGCTGCTCTCCCTTCCCTCCTGCTAATGAGCACTTCGGCACAACAGCCACAGTGCTGCAAGGGAAGCCCTAATGGAAACATCAGAATTATATGAGAGCTGGAAGCAGCATCCCATTCTGCTCAGACAGCTCACACCGAGCCTCTGGATACCCCTTGGCTGCAAAAGATGTTTGTCATCTCAGAGCTACATTTGTTATTGAGAAAAGCACATTCTGGTTAATTCTGGAGGAGCAAGGCAATGCCCGGCCCAGCAGCTCAGGGCCACTGAGATGCTCAGTGTTCTTCACTTTGCTCCCTGAAGCCAGGAGCATCGCGGCCTCCTCCAAGGAGGGAGTTTTGCACTGAAACCAGCACAATAAGCTGCCTGAAACAAAACCACCAGATATCATGCCTTACCAAGCAGAAGGACGGACAGGCACAGCTCTCCTTGCAGCCCACTCACTACAGGGAAATAATAACTCTCCTTAATTAGACCTGCAGGGCTCACGTCCCCTTCTGCAGAAGGCTACCATGCAGCTGATGGTGAGGACTTTCCTCAGGCTTTTCCTCCAAAGTGCCATTGGCCACCTTCCTCTCTGACTGATAACCCACTAAAATGACCCCTCAAAATGTTTTGTTTTGTTTTCTATAAAGTTTTCCAAGGGGAAATGAGACATTTCCAGCTTGTAAGGGTCAAAAGGATGGGAGCACCCTGTAGTTTGCAGTGGATAAGAGCAGAGGAATGTTTGGACAGCATCCATCTTCATCCCACCTGGGAGGAGGCAACCAGCTCCAGGTGTAAATACACTGCAAAACACATTGCTCCTCATCACTCCTGCAGGGGCTGCAGCTCTGGATGCTGCGTGGTTCCTTCCAGCCTGGCTCCACACTGGGCTGCATTTCTGTAGAGCATCACATGGTGCTGGCTGCAAAAGGGCTCAGCTCTCCAACCTCCAGCACAGAGTGTTACAACAAACCCAAATGAAACATGGAATAAATAAGAGACAGGATGGGTCTGATCCCCAAACTGCCTTTTTTTTTGCTTCTTAGCAAGAGAGGAACATTTTGAAGAGCATCAGAAACACGACCGAAAGTTGTTTTGCTGGATATTTCATAACATTCTCACCCGAAGCACTTTGGCTGCTTTTTTTTTTTAATATTATTTTTATTTTTTATAGCTTAAAAGAGGTTTTTATTGAAAATCTGTTTTTGGGAACAAGAAAATCAATGAAAATATATCAGTTCAGGCTTTTGTTAAAGAACTATGAAAAGGTCCCTGTGTGCAAAAAAGAAAAAGCCTAAATGTCTCATTTGGATCAAGCACTGAACTTTCAAATGTCTCATTCCGTGCCATGAATCCACACCGAATTCAGAATTGTACCCAATGGTTTGTGAAGATCCGAGTGCCACTGTGAGCAACTCGTAAACCAGAAACAAAGGGCTGAAACCATCGGAGGAATGGTTTGCAATGATTTATTTGGCTAATTCCAGCCATGACGAGTTCCTGGTGCTCCGATAATCTCTTTAGCATCGTCAGATTGTGCGTGGTGTGCGGCAGCTTTACCCATAGCAGTTCCCTCCTGCCTGCTGTTAGCATTAAACAAACACGAAATAGCGGTGCAGTGCAATTGATCTGACACTTTTCTGAGCTTTCTCTGCCCCCAAAGCATTGAGGTTTCCCTTTGGGAGGGCTCTGTATTTCCACCCTTCTCCCCACGCCTGCCTCCCGCTTAGCGCTCATCGCTCTGAGCACGCATCGCTCCTTCTTTATTTCTATTTTTTTGCTGGACATATTCCAGCAGATCTGGACTGTGTTTGATATCACTCCCAGCAAAGCATGCAATGTGCACAGATCTCAGTGAAGTGTGGAAGCAAAGCAAGAGATGTTTTTATCTCGCGGCCTCTTCCCCGCATAGCCCTCAGCTCTCCATCCCAGCTGCGTCCCCAGAGCCTCCATCTGCCCCATAGGGCTTCTGTAAGTGTCAGAGATGGAGAGGCCAATGGGCCCAGCAGGGCTGAGCACTGTGGGATGGAGGAGTGGCCCAAAGCATGCATCCTGTGCCTTGCAGGTTTGGGAGCAGAGGCAATCCCAGTGCCGCAGCTGAACAATGTAATACAGTGCACAGTACAGATATTGTACATACAATAGCAGCTACAGGAGGAGGAGGATTTCTGGAGCCCTGGAGCAGCCATGTGGATGGGAGCATCCATAAGGACATTCCCAGAACTGCTGCAGGAGGGCAAGGAAAAAAACAAGTCAAAGAAAAAGGAAAACCCCCCAAAACTGTTTGTCACAAAAGGCTGAGGTGGAACACGACATCTTGAGAACAAATATATATAAATATAACGTGGAGAGAAATGTCTGTGCATAGTGGGAAATGAATGCATGTAAAAAGAAAATTGTCAATGTCAAGCTGTTCTGGTGAAATATTTCTCACAGCTAACATTGCCATTCTGAATCTAAAAAAACACAAAATGATGCTTCATGTTCCAACCCTTTGGTTTGGGCTTTGGGTTTGGACACACAGCCCTTAACTGGAAATGGATCCTTGGCTCTGCTGTCCCAAGACAAAAGCCAGTCCGTGTCCATTTCCTCATTGCTCCAATTTCAGGACCAGCAGCAGACAAGGAATCTGCTAATCACGGTGCTAACAGCCTGAGCAATGTGATAAGGTCACATCCAGGCAGCAGTCACCACTCCTCCTGTCACCTCTCGTCAGTCCTTGCTTCCCAAATGCCATTTAATTAAAGGTTGCTAAAGACTTTCCCTGCTTAAAACAATCCCAACCTGGGTTTTCATTGTCAGCAGCAGGAACAGGCGGATTTGTGCAGGAGGATGAGCCAGGGGCTGGAAATGCTGCTCCACTTCATGTGGATATTAAAAACAAGGAGCCCCTCCAGCTCTGTGTCCTCTCTGCCCTTAGATAAATAAAACACCAGGCTGAGCCCTGCAGACAGCAGCACCGCCGGGGCCTTTCTCAGCCCTTCCCTGCTCGGCCGCTTCCCACATGCTGACTAATCCATTCTTTATTAGTTAATAATGAGCCATGCTAATTAACAGCAGAGACAGTGGCTTCCCCTGCCATGCCACACATGCCCCTGGCATGTTGGATCAGTGAGGAGGTGGCTGGCATGGCTGCATGGTCACCATGTGGGACAGGGACCTGCTTTTAGGGACATTTTCAGGTCTCCACAGAAGAGAAGTTTTTAGATGGGGATGGAATTGTGCAGGAGGGCTTCACACCAACCCCACCAGCAGGTCGTGGGGTGAAGGAGGGGATAGGATGTCTCACATGGGTGGGACATGTTTATGAGATACTGAAGGGTCCCCACCAGAGAGACCCATCTCAGCCCTATGGAGGATCCTGAGAGGCTCAGATCTTCTCACACAGCAACAGCCCCAAATGAATTCCAGACGTGGGGGCTCTGAAGGCATCAGTGCCCAAAGGCACGTGTCTGCCTGCTCCCAGGGGGCATTCTGGGACAGGACACAGTTGAAGGGGGAAAATCCCACCCAGGAGCTGCAGGGCAGGAGCAGCATGGAAGTGGAGTGATCTCAGCACGGAGCTGAGGCTGCAGAGGAGCATCTCGGGCTGCTGAGCTGCTGGAGAAACAGATGGCACCAGGTTAAATGTGAACTGCACATCTAAAAAATAAAAATGGTGTTTGTGCCCTTCCCTGCACCTTTATGATATATACAGATACAGAATGGGGGTTTATTTTGTTCAGAGGAAAGCATTTCTCTCTCTCTCTCTTTTGCTGTTTCGGACTTTATTTCAGTGTCCGCCTGGCAGAAGCTGGGGAGCGCAGCTGCTCTAGCAGGGGGCTTCAGCTGTGGGAGTGGGCAGAGCTTAGGGAACAACCAAAGCTGTAATGCAATTAATTGCAAGAAAATCCTAGCGGGGAGTGTGCCAGCATTCCCATATCCCTTGGCCATTTTCTAGATGGATAAAGTCCTCCAAAAGAGCACGAAAGCAATGTGAGGATCTAAAAATGCCATTCTCCGGCCTTGCAAACTCAGATCATGACTGCGGAAGGGGAAATGCCCCTCCCCACTCTGCCAGGGATTGGGGCACACTCTCATTTTGCTGCTGTCATTAAGGTGATGTCAGCATAATTACCTCACCCAATGAAGTAGCCTGTCCCTTTCTCCCATTTATCCTCCCAGAGTGCAGTTATTTGCAAAGGGCTGTGCTTTCATACAAGCTGGATTCAGAGGGGGCAAATGGAGAGATGAGAGCCCCAGCAGAAGGTTTGCAGTGGGGACCATCCTGCCAAGCCCTGCCCACAGAGTGGCCCATTAATACAGGTGGGACAAGCAAACCAACGCTGTGTGCAGCAGGGCACTCAGACAGCTGCAGTTAATGGAAGGATTGCTATTCAGATGGAGACAAAAGAGAAAATGTGCGTTTTTGGAAAAATAAAACTTGCACTGCTTTTTTTTGTTCTTTTTTACTTTCTTTCATTTTCTGCAACCCAGCAAGAAAAATATATAATTCGTGTTGAGATGGGGAACAGCTGAAGGATGTACAGCTGAAGCCGTGGCTGAAGCAGCAGGAGGGGACCCAGCGGGTGGGGGTGCAGGGCTGGGGAGGGCAGCGAGCAGAAACACAGCATCATGAACCCCCAGGGGCCGCACTGCCTGCTAGGCAGAGAGGTCAAGTGCTTGGATATGGTGTAGTAGCAATGCTGAATCACAGCCTGAAACAGTGATGGAGCACCTGGTGGGAAGGCAGGGCCAACCCTGGGCAGCTCAGGTGCATGCAATGTACTGAGTGATGGAAGGGATAGAACCAGGATCCACCCCTTCCCAGCCCTCATTTAAGGGCTGGCAGTGGAGGTTAGGGGGTTTTGCTGGAGGTCCCTGCATATTTGAGGTCTTCCAAAGGTAAGCAGTTTCTTTCTTGTATTTTTGTGCCCCCATTTGTTGCATTTGAGCATATCCTCACTTGCTGCAGCCCAGGACTTTGCTACTCCACTGTCATTCCTGCACTTTCCATCACATTACAGTGTTACTTATGGGCTTGCCAATTAATTAAACTTCTGGTTGGCCCTTTGAAGAAAAGGGGAAACAACCCCTCCTTCCCCCCAGAAAAACAGTTTTTTAGGTGTTTTTGAAAAATGGCAGAGAAATATTTTGGCACTTCTGCAACAAAGCCTTTCACTTCAGAGGTATTGGGATGAAACAGCTGAGAGATGTTTTTCAGAGGTTTTCCGTTCTTTAAATCTTTTTTAACCTGAAATTATTCATCTCATTAACATAATCCTGAATTCACACCACTCTGCTGCTCCTTAGACATTGTTTCCAGAAGATGCACAGACTGATCAAAAAAACCTCTCTGGTGCGTTGACTTAAAGCCATGATTTCTGCCCATATTAGTGCATTATTCCTCACTTCTACTGTTCTGATCTCTAAGTACACCCATCATCTGGTGGTATGTGATGCAGCTCTGTAAGAAGAGCCAGGGCAGCCTCTCCTGGAGCTCCTAATGTGGCTGAGGAGGAATGCACACTCTGAGATTCACAGGGCTTGGTTTGTTGAGATAGATCTGAAAGTTTTGCCAGCATTATATAACACACTGCCAATGTGTGTTTGCTTCTATCTGTCCCTGATTTATATATATATAGATATGGTCCATCTCAGTTTAGGTGCATCCTCATTGCTATGCGTGTGTTCTTGTAACGCATGCATCCCTTAGGCATGCTTCTGCTCTGTGTGTGTCTATAGCACGACTGTGTGCACCCCTTTGCATTTGGATGCACCTGCAGGAAGGTGAGGCTGGTTGGATAAATGTGTGGGTCTCTGTAAATCTCCACTTCCAGTCCTATCAGTAGAATGAGGTGCAAGGAAAGCTGTGTTTCTGCATGCACAACCCCAAATATAGGATCTTAATAACAGTGATAAAATGCTGCAGGCAGGGGAAGTCTGGGGGACTTTTTCCTCCTCCTTGGCCATTTGAAGCAATTCCACTGTCAGAATAATTCCCAGGATTTCATCAGAAATGTGCTGTAGAAACTCTTTGGGCCAGCAGTGCAATGCAAGCTGTCTGCCCCTGACACTATGATGGGACACCTGGTGTTGCAAGGAGTGATGCTTATCCTTGGTGCCACCTGCAAGATGCAGGGCTCTGGGCAGGGGAAATGCAATAACCCGGAGCTCACGATACCCAGGGCACTTTGTTAGCTGGATTCTCACTTACACCCATGAGCACAGCTCCTGCAGCCCTCCTCTGTGAGAAGCTCAAGTGCACCTGAGACGCAGCTCCTCCAGAGCAAAAAATCTCCTTGACTACAAGGAGTGAAGTGGGTTGGGATCATCTGGGGTTGAGTTAAATCTCCTTGACACCAAGGTGGGTGAAGGCTGTCCTTCACTTGAGAAGGGAAATATTTAAGCTTCTTTCTGAGGCTTGATTTGCAAACTGAGGCATAGCAACTGTGTGGGTACAAAGAAATCAAGACCTCTCATCACCTGTATCTGAGCAAAGGAGCTTCCTTAGCTTCCCTCCTAGCAGAGGTCTCCTCCATGGAGCAGATGTGTGGGCAATAGCCGGGGTCAAGGAACTCTTCAGGACTTGGCTCTCAGACAGACAAAACTGCAAAGAAACGCCCAGGAAACTGTGAGCTTCACTGCAGTGATCCACCTGAATGCTGAGCTTAATTACTCTAAAAGATGATGTGATGATGTGAGTGTAATGGGAGAGATCTGGTGCCCTGGTGGCTGAATCTCTTGCTGCTTGGGGATGCAAATGTCTCTAGGAGTTGATGGTGGAAAGGAGCTGGACCACAAGAAGTGGAGATGGTGGGGGATGTGTCTCCATGAAGAGGAGGAGGAAAGAAGGATTTGGCTGTGGTACACAAAAAGATGCTCATCTTCTTCTGAGTGGGTAGTGAGGCTGTAACAAATGCAATGTGATAATATCTGGGCTGGCATGTGTTCAGATGAAGTGATGAGAAGTGTTGATGCTTGGGAACAAGGATTTTGGAGTTGCAGTTCACTGAGACCTCCAGGATCTTCAGATATTATTTGGGAGTCATCTCTGATGCTGCTGAAGACCTCGGTGACATGACTTGGGGACACCCACATAGCCCACCATCAGGGTCCCCATGCTGACAGAGCAATGGGATGCAACGTGTTTGCTGATTCATTGCCTCTCCAGGCAGTGCTGAATGACCCTCTTAGAAGCTTCCCTCAGCACTTAATCAGTGAGGAGCCTGAATGTGGCATCCTAAGGACTTCTCAGGTGAGACACATCCCTCCCCGAATAACAAAACAAGTTCACATATGAGTGGAGAAAGAATGAGATTTTTACCACCTGATTGCAGCCTGTTCCCATGACTGATGCACAGAGGCAATGCTTGCTTTGGTGCACAGCCTATTTGCTGTCTCTTCACCATACTCATTTCTTTGAAGCCTGAGCAGCCTCCAGATCGTGCAGTGATCCTTGCAAGGTGACACAGGGCTGTTCTCATTGCAGGGACGGCAAAGGGAGAAGATAACTGGCTTAGCAGGTGTTGCAGTGCAAAGCTGCAGTGGAGCATAGCCTCAAACTCTGCTTTCCCAACATACGTTACCCCAGTTACTGGTTGAACCATCAGAGTAGTGGAATAATGTCCGTATTCTTTCTTCACATCAAAAGAAGATGCTGGAGGAATTTGGCCACTGGCTGAAATTCAGATTTCTACCCTTTGAATTGCATCTTCTGCTATTGCTGTGTTACAGCAGAGCAGTGATGTCAGCACACCCGTGCTGGATGCTGCCCACATTCAGCAGCTCAGTTATTGTTATTGCTGTTGTTACAGAATAAATCATTCCTTAAATTCCTCTCTTCCATGGCAGATTGTCCATGAAAGACTTGCAATTTCTGCATGGAGACACACAGGTTGACAGACTAAATCAAATCAGTAATCAAATCCAGATCCCATCTCCTACTACCTGGTATGAGTTATTGGTACCAGAAAGTGTGGAAGGAGAATCTGCAGGCTGCAGTTCAGGAGGAAAGAAACAGGGAAGGTTTCTGCTTAGATCTGAGCTAGAAAAAATGTGGAACTCTCCCACTTGCATTGTTTATTTAATGGTATTTACTCTTCTGTTTCTGGATATTTGAGGGTATAGCAGATATAACATCTGCTGTCTGCAGATACGAGCGAACCAGAGCTCAGAACAGACATTCACAGCTGCTGACACCGAAGTGGGAAGTGGGGAGCACAAGGGCTGAATGGAGCAGGAAGGTTTCTCTTCAACCTGGACAGAAGTTATCTGGAGTCCTATTTCATACATGAATGTCTTCTACTAAAACTTATCTGCCACGGTGATCCCCTATTTGGCATCTGTGGCACCAAGAGGTGGAAGTTTGCCCTCAGAGCAGCTGGAGGAGGCACTGTTACTGGGATCTCCATGTTTCTTCATTGATTTTTGTTTTCCTGGTGATGTAGGTCCTCTTGCTCATATGTTCTGATACAAGCTGAAGTTTCCTTGCCCTCAGACTCAGCACGGTCTCATTGCCATGGATGAGAAATCAGAGGAGCACAGCAGCACTGGTCCCTGTGCAGCTCTGCACTGAGGTCAATACTGAGCTTGTCTCTCATAACAGAACTCCTCACAGAGACAAGCAAAGCTACAGGCTCAAAACTGCACTTGTTGCTTCTTCTAGGATTTTTGGCTCTAAATCATCCTTATTTGGAGAAATTACTTTATTTTATTTTTTAACAAAGAATGAAGTTTAGAATTTTGATTTAGTTGCATCAAAATAGAGTTTTCTCCATCTGGCAGTGGAGATTCAAACCTTTACTTCACACTGCGGGATGATGGATGAATCGCCATATCCCCCTGGTGCTGTGCTTGGCAGGGAGGGCAGTGCTGCCTGGCTGTGCAGCCCCCACCTTCCTGCTGCTCCAAGGGCGGCCAGCACTGGAGAAAGCAAATGGGAGGATGGATTTCTTTTCATAGCATTCTAATAGAGTGACAAGGATGGAGCAGGACCTCCTGACATACAGCAAAATCCAAACAAGCCTGAAGCTGTCCCTGCACCCTGGCCTCAGTTTTGCATTTGTTTCTATATGTGACCGAGTACCAAAGTATCAGCAAAGGATGAATAAGGCCCTTCCACCACGACAAATAAAGCAGTGGCTCAGAAATGGTGGTGAGAGATCAAGCACCCAGTTTCTTTGTGCTGAAGAACCACAAGCACGTGTGGTTAGGCTTAATCTCTCCTCAGGAGGTTTCCACTTTCCAGACCCATGCAGGCGCTCACCCCACTGCTGGAGTTTCATGTCCCAGTGGGATTTGAGTCCCCCACCCTTATTGCAGAGTGCTGACAGCTGCCTGAAACCTGCGGTTTATTCTCTCATGAAAAGCCATTTATACATACTTACCTCTTTTCATTTTTTTCAACTGCAGCCCTGAGTTTATTCTCTCTCCCATTTGCACTTTCTCATTCTTCCTATTTGCAGATGCTGCTTGGCAAGGGGCTCGTGTGTTTTAAAACACTGCAGTGGGGCTGCAGCTGCATTAGCAGGAGAAAAACTCACGTTTGCCCAAAGAAGGAGGCAGAATCCCATCTGGATTTAGCAAGGTCAGAGTGCAGCCACCCTGAAGCTGAACGCCAGCATGTTGCTGTGTGTGCTTTCAGGTGACACGCGTTTCTTGCTAGAGAAGAAATTATATCCAAGCAGTGGGATGCGGCCATTAAGAAGAAAAACTCGCTGCTGCCCCATGCAGCACTCATCCAACTGTAAAAGAAATCCCTCTCCTTTCTGTGCTGGTGGTAATTAAAACCACCAGGCTCGTGTCTCATACCCATCCCAGGGAAGGCTCAGGCTGTGCCTTTGCGAGGGATGTGGGGTTGCACTTTGTGCACTCAGTGCTTCATGTGCCATTGGCTTTTTGTGGATAAAAGCCCCATCATCTACATCTTTTCCCAAACCTCTTCCTTTTGCAGCACTCCCACCCATGTATCAGGCCATGGGCACTTCCATCCCCAAAACCTGATTTGCTATTGTGGAGCATTTCTAATAGTTCGTGCAAAGCCTTTTGTGGAATAAGGTAAACCCATGGGAGTGCCTCATCTCTCTGGGGAGAGCTGCTTGGTAGGAGCTTTGGGTTTGCTTTGGCAGTGTGGTTTCAGAAAAAATCCTTCTCAGTTTCCAAGGAGGAAAAAGTGAAATATTTTTCTTGCTATCAGAGCCATGATTCAAGCAAGAAATGTGGAAGCAGAGTTGGATGCCCACTGGCCCCAGATTGAGGGATGTTCTATGATGCTTTTGCCCTTCCTTTCCTCATGGCAGCCCGAAAAGAACTTCTGAGCTCCTGCTTCCCCAAACAGGGCTCCTGAATGCACTCTGCTTCAAGGGGAAAAGCTATTTCTGCCAAATTTGGCAGTTTTGGTTCCTGCTACCCGTGTCACAGGCAAGGGCAGATAGCGGGTACTTCCCTGGGTTTTGAAGAGCATTGTCATATAGGTGATATGGATACAGATGATATAGATGGGAATGGCGTAGGCAAAAGTATAGGTGTGGGTGTAGGTACATTGGATGGATATTAATAGGAATGATTGGGATATAGATTAAATTCATGTGGATATGAATATATATGTATAGTATTGATGTGAATATGATAATATAGATGTCAATACAGACAGACATAGATATATACACATATAAATACAGACGGACTAGATATAGATGTGGATATCTAGATGGTATCTGATATAGATGCAAACATGATGCTACAAGAAAAACTGGTTGTCTGGGGGCATAGGCACAGTTTTGACCACTCAGCCCCACTCGGAGGAGGAGGAGAAAATCACCCACAGAACAAGAGGTAAAAGCAAGGGGAGAAAAGTTGAACCAGTCAACTTGAAACTCCTGCAGAACCCCCCGCTGGGAGAAAAAGCATTTGTTACATTAATCGGTGCTGGAGATAGCGCCAAACAAATGAAAGTTATTAAAGGAAGGGAGATGGATGGAACTCAAGTCATCCGTTTGTTTTGCCAGCGCCAAATTCGTTTCCAGAAAAAGCCCTTATCAATTTCCAGGGAATAGTTTGCCCTGTCAGTGTCGACTGGGTGTTAATGTTCTTTACGGCTCCGTTAGAGCCGGTGCAGTGACACCAATCTAAATAAGGGAGGAAGGAAGGCTTAATCAGCCTGTCACTGACCAGTTATTAACATTTGAGAACAAGGGCATTAAAGGAGAAAATTCTGAGAGGTCAATTTGTACTTCAGGAGAGGAACCAAAGAGATAAGGAGAGACAACTTGGAGGAGAAGCACAGCACCAGGCAGCCTACAGCCACGGGAGAGGTGAGAACACCTCTACAGGGCACCCACAGCACTATTCATCCCCAAGGATGGGCACTGAGCAAGGAAATCTGACTCCCGGGGAGGACCTGAATGGTGAAGGGCAGAAAAGGCATTTCCCCCACTGAGGGACCCCAGCTCTCCCCTGTCCTTGGCAGCACTGTCCCCTCCCCACTCGCACCCCTGGTGTGGCTGCATCTCCGTGGGGCCGTACGTGATTGCTGCACAGCCCCATGGGATGAAAGCTGTGTGCTTAGATATGGTTTATCCCTTCCAACCCCTGATGATAATCCGGGATTAGTCCTTCCAGCGTATGATTACGTTTTGCCCACTCGCTTTGAAATGACACCATTCTGGCCCTTTTCTTTCAGCTTGTCCCACCAACCCTTAGGAAAACTGTTTGCCAGGCTCTGATTAAACCCTGCATGCGGCAAAGTCCCACCAGGATCCCAAACAACTTCACGTGTCCATTCTCTCCCCTTTTCCTCTGCTGAGCTACCCATCCCTCCGTCATCCCCCTGGGGACAGGGCATGCCTTACTATGCACAAGTGCATATATTCATTTCCCATAATAAATATGCAGTTTTGCCAGCAGCAATGACTCCTGACCAGCATTCCCCCAGGCAGATGGATACATGGGAAGAAACCATCTTGTAATGTCAGCCGGGCTCCATTTGGGAGCATGGCATCAGCTGGGAAGCCAGTGCTGCTGCTCCCCATTAGGTTTATTCGCTATCTGTGTTGCTGGGCCATTAAAGGAGCTGTGTGATAGCTGTCTGGCTGTTCACGGGAGCAGTGGAGCAGTGGGAGAGACAGCAGCTGTCCCTCAAATGATTTCTCCGAGGGGAACAAAAAAGAGAGAGAAATAAAAAAATTCTGTGACAGAGGAGTCAGGAGAGCCAACTTTCCTAGCGGTTTTTTATTGCTATTATTATTTATTTTTTAAGAGATTTGATTTGTTTTGTTTTCAAGCTCATTTCACGTGTCATTCCTGCTTTCAGAGTAAGGAACCTGGCTCTGACACCTCCTGATCCTGTTAAGGCTGGGGATGCTCTCTGGGCCGACTGTGCTGCTGATGGTTTGTTGGTTCCTGCCTGAATGAATGCTGCAACCTCGTGTTCAGGGTTGTACAAAGGATGGATGGATACTTCTGCTGTAAAGGTGGATGCAGCCCTCTGATTCCTATGACCCAGTGCTTGATCCAGCCCTTATAGCTCCAGTCAGGGTTTGAGTGAGAATGCAAGTCCATTGTAATTCACTGGAGGGGGAAAAAGTAATGCTGAGCCTCCAGTCCCAGTTCTCACTGCTCCGATGGCCCCTCCTGTAAGATTTGAATCTATGAAAGATGGTTTTAATACCCGGTGTGCCGCAGGGGTATTTGTTTGGTGACAGCGCATGTTAAAGTCAACCAGCCCAAATCCAACCAATAAATAAACCAAGGCTGAAAGTTGGGCTTGCCACAATGCGCTTGGGAGGGGAAGTAGGGAGATAGATGGATTTTATTATTGCTATTATAGCAATTATTATTATTATTATTATTTATTGGGTAAATAGAAGGGAAGCCAATTCTGTCTCCTGGTCCAAAGGCCCAATTGCCATGGCTGGCTTGCAATGACAGAGCACTGTGAAACAGCACAATAGCGACAAATTATAAATCATTGCCTTTTGTTTCAGATTGAGTGCTGAGAGTCAGCGACTCACCCTCCATTGCTTTCCCATAAAGAGAGCTCAGGAGGAAAATAGAGCTCAGCAGGGACCCCACACCAGTGGGGCTGAGGGCTGTGTGTTCCCATTCCATTCCATCCTTACTGCCCCCCGAACACAACGGCACACAGCAGGATTGCAGAGCAGAGGTTGCCTGCCATGAGCCAACCCAAACGCCACCATGAAGCATTGAATTTGGCTTTCCTCTCCTCATTAGAGCTGATTACACTAATCAACATGTTTGTTTGGGGTGGATGTATTTTGTTGTCCTTTTTTTCTATTATTTCTTTGGAACATGAACAACTTGGCTGTTGCAAGAGAGGGAGTTCTCAAGGGGAACTACAGAGACCATCCACCTCCTCCGGTATGTGGGTGGGTGGAGCAGAGCCTTTTTGCATGGCACCACTTCCTTGCACTACTTCATTTGCAGAGTGCTCTGAAAAGGATTAGCTCTCTCCTAGCGACTCAACCACAGCCTTCCATGAAGTGGTTTGCTACAATGCCTCAGTTTACCCCAAGGAACTGCAGGTTTTGCTCTCACCCCACTGTTAGATTAGGTTCATTTCTGCAAAGAAGAGATGTAGGGATGCTGGACAGTAAGGTAATGCTGGCTGGGTTACCCAGGGCAGGATGCACCGTGCTGCAGTGCGTATCCCTGGGTGCATGGTGCTGCCGAGCTGCTCAGGTTTTAGCCAAAGCTGCTGTAGCAGCGAGACACCACTGCTCACACACTTCAGTCCATTAAACCTACAATGGATGATCCCCGTGGATTAAATAAGACTGTGATTGGGAAGTTCATTTGAAAGCTTTCGCCGGTGTGAGCTCCGAACTGCCCCAGCCTGCTGCACTACCGCCTCAATCAGCATTAAATTCTGGATCAGCCTGGCTGATTTCTGAAGACCTCACATCTAAAGGTCGAGCAGATCATCTGCTGCTGAGAGAGAGAGGGGGGCAGTGGGAAGCATCGCTGCAAGTCGGGGATCCTGCTGCACTCTGTGTCCTGACGCCAGCAGAGCCCAGGGACCAAAGGGAGCAGGCAAAGCCCAGAGGCAGCCCCAGAGCAAACAGATCCAGAGTTTTCACAAGAAGAGGAAACGTCTCCATAAAGCAGTGCTGAGCAGCAGGGACATTGCAATGTCCAGAGCAAAAGGTTTGGTTTAGTGGAGTTTTTTTATTATTTTTATCTTATATATGAATTTTTTGGGGGAAATAGAGCTCATTATGATCCAAAAATCAAAACATGAAAGTGAAGCCATCAGGTAGAAAAGGAGCTGAAGGTTGGACCTGCTCCAGCCAGACTCAACTCTTCCTCTGCCTTCCTCCTCCTCCTGCCCCCGAGCATTCTCCCATCCCCTCTCTCCAGCCCACTCCCCACACACAGAGCAGCTCCCTTCAGCCCTCCCGGCGGCATACATCAAGCTGCCCACCAACCCACTGCCCTCATTCCTTCTATCAGCATTAGAAAACCCACAGCAATTCATTCCAGCATTACTGTTTCAACAAGGCTGCCATGTGATAACGCTCCCGGCCCATCAGCGCTCGCAGCTGCACGGCAGATTAGTTATATTGTGCTGTGAGGCAACCAGCAAAACCATCAGTGAGGCACTTACAGAATTAGGGCCTGGCACTTAATCGCTTTGCTGGTGGCTGCGTGTTATTAAATTCCCCCGAGTTCAGCAACTTTGTAGCCTAGCTCCAGTTTTTGTTGTTGTTGTTTTTTTGCTACAAGGCTCAGAGCAAAGCTTGGAGTGCCTGGGGAGCTTGGGTGAGCCAGGGTCAGGAATGGCATCCAAGAAGTGCTCTCTTTTAATGCCACCAATCTATCTCGGTACTTGAAGCAAATAGATGAAGGCAGTGGTTTCTCCAGGGGGCTAAAACGACTCAGTCCTGCTGAAGTCAGTGGGCGTTTGGGGTGGAATTCCTCTCATCTGCCTTTAGATGGAGATATCTTCAACATCTAATCCTTATTACAAACACTTTGGGATAAGTTGCCCTCAAGGGGAGTCTCCTTATAAAGAAAATACAGGGAGCCCCAAAACTTCTGGTCAAGTCCTGCCTCTGACTTGCTGTTCCCTCCAGGGAGGACTCAAGGAATAGGAGAACAGTTGGTGCAAGGAGATGCTGGCAAAGCCTTGCCCATCCAACGCTGAAGGATTCCCATTCTACAATAAAGGACGCCCATCCCGTACCAAAGGACTCCCATCCCATGTCAAGGGACACCCATCCCACACCAAAGGGCGCCCATCCACAGCAGTGCCTGTGCATACCCTGTGCATACCCTGCACAAATTCAAAAAAAGAGAAGAGTGGGAAAGACAGACTCGTGACCCACCTCTCTGCTGTTTTCCAGGTCAGTCACAGCACCTCCTGATCTCCCACCTCCACCAGATTTAACCCAGCGCTCCTTCCTGCACCCCACCCAAACCAACCCTGTGCTCTGAGGAAAGGCCAAGAGTGCACAGCTTCATTTAGAAAGCAGAGAGAAAAACAGAGTAAGAGCATGGACTAGAAGCATATTAATATTTAATCACAGCAGGCCAGAGGTTGCTGAGGCAATCGCTGTTAAATGTTATTGAAACAAAGCATTCGCATTCCCAGTGTGCGGGTAGTTCAGGAGCTGCCTCTCTCCGGTCAGTGATCAGGACCACTGCCATGGGTAAACCTTCCTGCAAGGACTTCTCCCTGGGGAGGAGAGGAAAGAGTCCTCAGGTGAACAGGGAACTTTCCCACCTGGATTTCCATTGAGAGGCAACAAAATACACCGGGGAAAAGTGATGGTTCCATACACCAGGGCTCAGTGTGTTGGGAGATGTATGTTTGTATACCCAGCTGTTAGTATGGGTCTAGCTGGGTGTATTTTCATAGCCAGCTATACCCATAGCTCCATTATCTAGATGTACAGAAGCAGAGGGTGTAGCCCTTTTCTTGTCCTTGTCCATCTTTGGCTCTCCTGCCAGATACCTCCTCCACCTTCTCTCTCTACTATCCTCCTGCCCAATATAAGATCCTTTTCCAAAACTAATGAAGTAGCCCATGCTCTGTAACTGTTTCACTCCTTCGCTGATGTTTTGGTAGCAACTTGCCCGCATTTCCTGCAGCAAGGTTCTCAGAAGGCTTCAAGGAGATGTTTGGAAATGAGCTTCAAGGCTTGGCGTTATATCATACACTGCATTGCTTTAAGTCCTGCAAAGGGTTAAAGCTTGAGCAGCAGCTCCTCACCACCTGATCTGACATGTCATTAGCAGGTTTGATATCTCACTTTCATCAAAGTGGGATTTCTTTCCTGAGAATTAATTCTGATTTTTGCCCGCGCACAAATCATTAGCCCAGCTCTCCAAATGAAGTGCTAACATTTCCTGTCACCTCCTGCTCCTCACTGCCCACAATTCCTTAAAGCTGCTGCAATCAAGACCATGAAAAGCTAATCAATTAGGCCCCAATGTATGGAGAGCTCATGAGCCACTATGAAGAGCACAACACATCATTACCTTGTGAAATCTCCACCTACAGAGCAGATGTGTAGAAAGCAAAAAGCACAGCATGGCCCAAGGTTTTTTCCCCCACTTTTACCTTCACCCCAGTGCTCCTGGATGTGTCAAGGCAAATCTGACTCCTTAAGTGCTTCAGGATAAGGAGAGGAAACTTGTCTTCTCCCTCTTGGCAAATGGAGATGCTGCACATAGGCTGGGTCCTCCACATGGCTCTGCATTACAGACACCCTGAGCCAAGCGATGTGGGTTATTCCCCCAGAGGATCACACCATCCCCACATTTCCTTGGAAAATCACTTTGTAGAGGATTGAAGTGAGTTTTCCCCCTGTTTCTGACTGAAAACCAGAGAGTCATACAAAAATGCCCCTCTGAAGTGCTCAGGTCTAAGCCACCAGCCTCAGCCAACCTTTCCCCTGAAGTTAAACCCAGGCATCTGCATCAAAATATGAGATACAGCACTTGCCTGCCCTCAGATTTTAGAGCAGAACAGTTGTCTCCATGGAAACCCACATTTTCTCTTTTTCCCCTATTTTTTTTCAGTTCAGAAACCAGAGCACCACAGCAGGGAGCGATGCATGGGGCGAGGTGAGAGCACCCACTGTAGGCACCAGAGCTGCAGGAGAGACGAGTCCTGTTTTCCTGGAGAAGAGCTGTTTGTATGGGATGTACCTCTGAGCTTTTTCTAGAAAACCACTCCTTGGTTAAAGAAAATGCCTTTCCCATAATATCTCAGATGCACTGGATGTGGGCTGGGGAAGTCCCTTGCAAGGCAGGTGCACACCTGAAGCCCAGCCTTGGCCTCCAAATGCCTCCAGCCAGGCTGTTTCCTCAAATTACCTTAAAGACAGGCCTATCTCACTCCTGAAGGTGAACATCAGGAACCTGCTGCACGTTTCTTCATGGCCTCAGGGCTGCTCTTCAGGCAGATCTCCCCATGGACTTGTCAGATCAGAAAAGAGCACGCCTGTGGGAATGAAGGCAAGCCTCTGCATCCCCAGATCCTTTTTGTTTCCAGAGCTAAATGTCTTCCCAAAGGGTAAAGTCCAAACTGGGGCAAGGTGCTGATGAAGAGCTGTGGTCCCCCTCAACCCCTCTGATCCCAGCGTCCTTTCTAAAGGTTGTTCATCTCCTCCAGCATCCTTGAAGCATTTGGCACTGGCCACCTCTTGGGGAAAAGCTGCCAGATGGAGATGAAGAGAAGGGGTTTAGCAGTGAATACCTACCCGATGAATTATCCCCTCTGGGTGAAAGCTGGAGTTTATCTAGCATCACTCCTAGGTCATTGTTAAGGATGCCCCAGTGCCTGGGGCTCCCTCATGCAGAAATTCCCTTCCATAGTGTGTGTGGGATGCTTTCTCCAACCTGTATTCCGGGGATGCAATCTCATCCATGTACTACTTTAATGTACATAAACACTTATTGTTCTGCAGGACAAAAGCTGCAGCATATTAATATCGTTATCAACAGCTCCCTGTTATTGCTGCACTCAGTAATTACGCCTGACGACATGCTGAATGACAGAAGTGAAGTTTAAGGTCAACCACTGAAAAAATTAGCATCGGCTTCTGTCTCTCCAGAGGATGGATGGAAACTACAATATGGGTCTCAAATTTTCACCATGGAGCCCAACCTTTGTGCACAGCGCTGCTCTGCTCCGCCTCGCACACAATGTTCTGGTTTGAGGCTCTCATCTGTCTGATTTAAGAAGTTTGCCATGGTCCTTCCTGGCAAGTTATATTTACAGGTGAAAATGCGGGGTAATGTTTAGAGGTAAGTGGTATTTATAAGTACATACGCAGGGAAATGTTTACAGGCAAGATACTCACGGGTAATTATAGATCAATACTTCAAAGTAGAGTAAATAAGCAGGTAAAAGACCTTTGCCAGTGTGTTACAAATAAATATTTAGATACAACAGATGCATGTAAGTATGTGTAGGTTATAGGGAAGAGATAAAGATTAGAATTTAGATGGAGCGCTTTTATAGAAGGAGAGGCAAAGTACAGCTGCACCATTAGCAGCACATCCATAACTCAGCCACATAAGAGCATCCGAGCAACGCTATCAGATCAGACCCACGGTCCATCACACCCAGCACTGGGCTTCCAGCAGCAGCTCCTGGCACGGCCACTGAGCAGAGAAGTGAAGGTCAGAGAAGTCTTTTTTCTGGCTGGGGAGCCCTGTTGCCTCCTCATATCGTGTCCAGGACAGAGGGCAGCGCCTGGACCCGTCAAGCCTTCCCGGCTCCCTCCAACTCATCACACCCCCAGCTCTCTGCCGGATGCATTGCAACCCATTTTTGACAAAGTTCAGCCAAGCAACGAGCAGCCTGGAAGACGCTGAGATCCCACCAAAATC